TTGATAAGGGCACCACATGATCCTAATATCTAATAAAAGCGATAAGCCAAAGAGGCTAACCTTGACTATAAAAAAAAGTGATCCAAATACTCCAGCTTAAAAATTGAGTAATATAATATATATGATGCTTTATTTTTGCTGAAACTATAATACACTTTATGTATTATGCTCATAATCAAAGGTGTAAAAATACCAAAATCGGGTGTGGAAATACCTGTTCTCTATTTATAATATAATATAAATATAGTAATATATGAACAATACAAAATAATACACATGTCTTGATAGTTTAATAAAACTATCTGATCTATTTCTAACTACTCTGTTTAAATTTACTAAACTAATTAAAAAAAACTTTTTTGTTAAGTTTTTTTGTTTTTATACGTGTTATTTAGATAGAGTAGTAGCAAAGATTTTTTTTATTTAGTAAATTTTAAAAACCCAATATATGCTTATAACTGTGACCATTTAATTCTTTGTTTTGTTGTTATTTTTTGTATTAGTGTTAGTTTTTTTTTCATTTATTCCTATCCTCTTTTTAGTATTAGTTTTTTTTTTTTCTTTCACTACAAGATGTCATTAGATTGGTGATATTCTACTGTAGAGTAGTGGCCAGATGAACCTTCTAAGAGAATCCGTCTTCTCAGTGCGGAGTCACTTGAAAGTGCTTATAGAAGTAACTGCGGGGTGTCAGGCGCCAAGTTCAGTTCAATGCAATATATTTACGAATACAGTAATCTGAATAAAGTGATCACTGGCAAGGCTGCCAAAGTGAAAAATTTTAAATACTGTATTTCAAATATTTTTAAATCTTTTAATATAGAAATCTTTAAAAGTTGCGAACTTATTAATAATAATACTGTAATATAGTAACAATCACAAAACAACATTAAATATAAAGTGTTGGCTTACCAAATTTTGTTCTAAACTTTTCTATAGCTAAGCAATTAAGTCAGTATAACTAAATAACCAAGTACCAACGTTATTAATAATATTTCGAATTGATTATTAAATTATTTAAAAGTATGAAGTTTGAACATGTCACTCTGGTTATACTTACATCAGAATATAACATAATAGTAAATCTTTTTAAATATCCATTTACTATAACGATATTTTGAATTTTTTTCCAATTTCTATAAAATGTCGACATAACTGGAGTGACATGTATATAGAAAATTAATAAAGAAAGCTTGGTTACAGCAAAATTACATCCATGGATGCCTATATTTGATAAAGAATACGACCTGCATCCATAAGTTAGAAAAGTATGATTACCACAAATACAAACTTTAGATAATTAACCATCTTGAGATTAAGGTGTCACGTTAATAAGTATAGTAACACTTACTTCAGAATTCTACAGGATAAAGCGCTTATAATTATGGATACAAGATCAATCAACCTGAATCAGAACAAAAGTGTGAAACCAATCAAGAACTTAAGAACCAGTTTTCTTCGATCTACAGATGTATAACAATTATCTGATTTATCGAAATAGGCAATTCAAAGTACATACATGATTTACAGATTTGCGGAGATCTAGATCACATGGTACAGGAATTAATTATTAAGTCAAATGAGCTTTATTCATGTAAACACAAAAGTTCTATGCTAAAATTTAGAAACGTTTCAAAAAACCTGGCGTTATTTACGTACTTGGCAGGATGAATAACTTTACACCACACGTTGAAATCGTGTTACAAATTAATGCCATGCGGTCACAATTATAAATGCGTGCGTAGGCACAAATATTTCACGGAGAAACCTGTTAATAAAAGCATCAACCAGCATGGTCAATCTTAGGGAGGCAAGTGACAATGAAGATAAACAAACAAGAAGATGTTGGATGGAACCTGAGTAATAAGAAACAATAATTGAGGATCTTGGCAATATCTTGCGTAAAAATGAAGAATCTATAAATTTATGGAATTTATGGTTTCTATGAAATATCCTTTTTTACCCAAGACCTTTCTTGTACACATGGTGACACGACATGGCTTGTATTTGTTTGTTAGTTAATTGTTTGTTTGTTGTGTTATGCGGTGCGACGATATATGTCGAACAATTGACCGCAGGAAAGTAAAGAAGGGATGATAGGAGAAAATAGGATTGAAGAAAAAGAAAACCACTAAATGTGTTACCAAAAAATTGCTACAGTTTTTCTAGACCAGCCGAAAATCCAAATTAGCAAAATTTGGAAAACTATTGAGGATGACAAAATAAGTAATTAGTTCCATATGATGTACACACAGGAATCACAAAGAATATAAATAATTCTAGATGGATTTAACTTTCCTCATGCAGGGATGCAGTGTGACAACTCGAAGTCAGAAGGATCAAAAATATTTGAAAAGGTAATTCGAGTGTAACCGTCACTATGTTTACAAATCGATATTCTAATATCGAATTATTTACGATCCTTTGGACCAACCAAAATTTGTGACTTGAATTGTTGATGCTTTTATTGGTAGATAGAAGAATGAGATATTGATAATTACGATATTGATAATTACCAAATACAACAATATCCGATAATCCGAAATATTATGCTTATCATGCTTGTAGTAAGCTCAGCAGATGGTAGCATCGCCGTAGGGAAACATAACAGTTTGACCATTTGACTACAAATATCGTGCGCCTTAAATCATAGCCTCTGCAGAATAGATTTAAATGTATACATTTATGGTTTGTTTACTCTTAACGATGATCCAATTGAGTTATGATGAAACATAGCCGATCATTGGTTTCGCTTTTTTGGTTACGTGTTAGGTTACACATTTCAACTAACATCTCAGTGATACTGCTGTACTGAATACGTATCAATTTCAAATTGTCATGGTACGTATGTACGTACGTAGTGTCAGCATAGTGTCAGCATAGTCAGCATAGTGTCAGCATAGTGTCAGGATTCGAACATGGTCACATGACCCCTACCCGAATAATGCTGTGTCAAAATCATTGCTAATTAAGGATCAAAATTGTAACCTTTGTGTATCGGAGTCTAAAACAAGTACCGGTATAGTCAGTCAATATTTGGAAATTCATTAATTTCTGAATTCGAATATGAAAATGCCGGTCAATCTTGTAAGATTTTTTGTGAATCCAAAAAATAAGGACTGATAGATCTTATTCGCCAAGTTTTTGGTTTTGAGTTAACCATTTTTGAATCGAGGGATATAACATGCCATGTAGATCTGATCGATGTTCTTTATTGACCACGTTGAACAAGTTGGAGAATCTCAAAGCAAGTAGTATAATGCGATTAATTTTCCTTTCTCAGAAGAAATGTGATAATGTGCTAATATATTATATTATATATTAAATTATGTTGTAAGGACTATCTTTGTTTTGACACATAAAACAAACTTATGTGAGGCGATAAATGTTTGTATGTGATATTCCGTTCGGACAAACGTTCCAACTACGGAATTACCCGTCGCCACGTAGAATCCAGCCTTGACCACCCGACCCATTACATCCGAACACGCTTTCAGCATGTTGTTTGCTGCTACACCGAAGCCCACATTGCATTTTTTTTTTTTTTTTTTTTTTGCGCGGTTATACAATCATGATAAAATAATGACGGGAAACAAGCAAGGGGATTTTCTTTGCATCTAGCAGCCACAAAGTATGTTATGCAAAATCTGCTCGGATCTCATCATCTCACCGGCATTCACTTTTTTGTCAACTTATTTTAGACTATAGTTCCTTAACGTAATGGTATTTGTACATTTTATACTACATTCTACTGCATGAAATATACCCAATGGTCATTTTTGGTTGGCTCTAATGGGAATAAAAATCATCTATTATCCTCATAAATCATTGACCCGCCACTTTCTCTTTTTATTTAACAGTGTTGCCACTGGTCCATTTGTTCCCGCCCATGTCTTCTGTCATTCTTTGGTGGCATTGAACCTTTTGTTCTTTAAATAAAATAGACACAAACTGATAAGCGCACCTTACGCGCTATATAATAATAGTCTTCCTTTTTTTTTTTTTTAATTATTATTATTTAGAATTCACTTTATTTAGAGTCGTCTTATTAGTATTTTATTATTATTATATTATTATATATTATTATTTTATTTTTTATTGTTTTTTATAAATATAGAAGTAAGTTTTTTTTTTTTTTTAATTAAAACATGAAATTGTCTACACTAAACTTATGACTTACGACCTTTTATCATAAAACTGTTATCAAAGAAAAGTAAAGAAACACAGACACATCAATATTCAAACAACAATGGATGTTTCCTCTATATGTTCTTTTCCATCCTTTGGTAACGAAACGATTCATTCCAGCGCGTCATTTACAAGGACTGATGCGTTGACAAGAACTTTTTCTTCAGATTCGGATAATAGCAAGAGTGTTCTACCCCCAATATCTTCTATTTTATGTCCTTTAACACAATCCGTCCCTGTGAAAACATCCTTGGGCCATCATGATGACACTTCAATAACTATGCCTCCTCCTTATTTACAGTCTTCTACCTCTAAACACCATTCGGTGAATTCTGAACCTCATCATGCGAGTCCTGTTAAATCTCCTTCCGTCATGAATCATGTGTCGGCTTCTCTTGATAATTTATCACGAGGACAACCTTCACAGCAACATGCTCATTGTTTAAGGACTTCACATTCAACTTCACCAAGTCCAAGTTTGAAAGAACATAATTCACCAGTCGTCCATTCATTATTAAATGTTCGTTCTGGTGAATCCCCATCTCAACAGATTTCCTCTCAGTCAAAATCTGAAACTGTTGATCATCCTCATGAAAATAATATTCATTTACAAGTAGCATGTATGCATCCTCCTTCACTTCCTTCTAATAATGGACTTGTTCATCCTAATGTTCAGCATTCACAATCTCGTAACTCATCAACATGGGAGAATCAACAAACATCTCTCATGGTTAATGGTTATCGATCACCTCAAATTCCACTAAGACCGCAACCATCTTCAAATCCGACAAATGTAGTAAGTTTACCTGCCAATGATGAATTGAAGCAAAGTCCTGCTCAAAAACCATCAATTCAATATGGTACTAGTAGTTTTCCTTCAGAGTATCACCATTATCGCGCCTCTTTTGAAAAGGATGTATATCAATCAGTGTCTTTGAATAGTGAAAAGACTTCAGTTGATTTGAAAAAGGTTTATAATCTTTTTTTTTTTTTTTATTTCGAGATATTTGACATTTTCGTCATACTTTTTTTGATACGTTCGACCTATATATGTTCAATATATTTAAATATATTTGGTATCTAAAAATACAATATGATTTTTTTAAATGTTATAATTAGATAATTGATCATTGCTCGTTAATCGGACAATTTGCAGCTCAATACAGTGATATGCGCAGTCAATCGGGAAATAGAAGCTTAAATTGGCCCACAACGATTCCTAACGAATCTAATAATATTCCTACGGAAGCTCACGTTACAGAAATGATTAATAAAGCTTTTGAAGTACTTTATGTGTTAAATGCTTTAAAAGATGAAACTGTAAATCGTCGTGGACCGGTAAGTATGTTATAATTTCAATATGTTTATTTTATTTATTATTTACATTGATTTATTATTTACATGAATCTATTATTTATGTATAATATAATTTATTTATATAAAAAATATATAAAAAATATATATAAAATATATATAGAGTGAAATAGAACTCATTAGGAACAAACGGACTACTTCAGGTGTTGCACCCACACGACCAAAATATCGAAAACGAACTGTAAGTATAGATTGATATCTTAATGAATATCTTAATGAATATCTTAATGAATGTTAAAGAGGTTTAATTATTTTTATACCTTCCTTTTATAGAAAAGACCTGCTCCTCCAGGAAGATGTCATTCTTGCAACATACAGGAAACGCCTGAATGGCGTCGCGGACCTGATGGTGCGAGAACCTTGTGTAATGCTTGCGGACTGCGTAAGTTTTTTATTTAAAGATTATTTCATCATTCTTACCTATTTATTAATTAATGTTATTCTTTTGTTTTAGATTTTGCCAAGTTAACGCGAAAACGAGCTCAAACTGCCTTGCAAGAACAACAACGCGCTTTACATGCTCTTCATACACATCCCTACGCACCACAGCATATGTTAGCATATTCTTCCAAAATTACGCCATTTCCCGGATTTCCGTCACATATGGTGACTCATGGACAATTATTAACATCGACCACTCGTATTACTACTTCTAATAATAAATGCCTTTTGAAATTTAGTTATAGCTTTACTATATATATTAAATTTTGAATATCAAACTTTTC